TTTCTTACAAATCCTTTGCTAGGTTAATCTCTCCCAAAATTAAGGAAAACCTAATAAAAAAAAATCATCCAGAATGATTTTCCTGTGTAATAATGTTCTTTGTGGTGACAAGTGGTATTTATTCTAGATTGCCTGTAAAGCTGAGTAGGCTGTTTTAGAAGAGAAAGCCTTGGTGATATGATGGCTCATGCCTGTAATCCCAGTACATGGGAGGCTGAGGCAGGAGGAGTGCAGTGAGTTTGAGGCCAGCCTGGGCTACATGGTCCCCATCTCATATAACCAAAAAGAACAGAATAACTAATGGTTCCAGACATTAGCAGTGACTTCCAGAAAATTCTCACATAAGACTACTTTTGAGGACAGCTGAATGGCTGGAAAAATGCTGTGCTCTAGTTTTTCTAGCAAAACTAGAAATTGTTGAAGTGCGAGTTGGGTCAATAAGTGCATCTGAAGCCTTGTGTGATGCTGTCACTTTCCTTCTTGGGGACTGCTAGTAACAAGTGTATTTCTATAATTTAGTTCCCACATAGTAGTTTAGATAGTCTAAATCATTTATAATTATGTACTTAAAATTCTCTAAATTTTCCAGTTTTCTCTTTATGTGGAGACCTAAATCCTATGAGTATTTCACCAGCTGTTGGAAGAGTGAAGGAGAAAGTCAGTGTTTCATCATTCCTTTGGAAAACGGTCAGCTGGGTTTACTGTCTCTGTGGATGTCTGAATCACCCGACAGGCTGCTCAGTTCTAGCCCCACAGTTTCTTGGTGCTCAGATCTGTGGGGGGTCCAAGAAGTTGTGCTTCTAAGTAAGTTCCAGTCTGTCTTTTGGGAACCACTGGTCTACCTGACTGAATGCCACCCCATGTGAAATTTTAAGTAAGTTGTGTGGATTCTTAAGCAATAATAACAGGAGAAAATTTCTTCAATGGTAGAAAAGAAAAAGTTATCTTAATGATCTTTCTGTATTATTTCTCCATAAATACTGAAAGCATACTCGTAAAATCACACAGGGAACACATTGTCTTTCCCTGCGGTTAAACAAACATAGTTCAAACACATTGTTCTCTGACATATTCCTAAGGCCGGACAGTATGCCGGTCACAAGTGTAAAAATAGGTTATAGATATTGTGGGAAGACTTGGGATCTCAGATACAAGATGCTATTTTCTTTGCCTTTGCTGCAGTTATGTGTAAATGAAGTTTCTAAAACTGACCATCAGTGAGAGATGATTTGGGTGTAGAAAAGGAGCTTCTTGGAAAGAAAGGAGAAATATTCAAGTGAAGAGTGAAAAAGCTGGGAAAAGAAACCTAAGAATTTAGATATAAGTGAAAATTATGTATAATAACAGGCTCCTTAACTTAGTGCCTACAGTCTTAGAGCAATTATTCAGTTTGTAACTAGAATCTCAGATACAATGAATAAATGATCATCAGCTAATGTATCATTTAAAAACATTTTACTACATGAAAAAAAATTCAATAGCCAGAAGTAGTGGTGCACACTTGTAATCCCAGCACTGGGGAGGCTGAGGCAGGAAGACCGCCATGAGTTCAAGGCCAGCCTGAGCTAGATAGTGAGTTCAAGACCTCCCTGAATTACAGAGCAAGACCCTGTCTCAAAAAAAGAAAAAAGGATGGACCTTACACCTTATGCAAAAATCAGCTAAAAATAGGTTAGACCTAAAACTATAAAACTTCTAGAAGAAAACACAGAAATCTTCATAACATTGGTCTTGACTGTGATTTCTTAGATACAATATCAAACATACAGGAAACAAAACCAGAAATAGACAAGTGGGACTACATTAAGCTAAGAGGCTTCTGTCCAAAAAATAAATATTCAATAGAGTGAAAAGTCAAACTGAAATGGAAAAAAAAAACATTTTCAAGTCATGTATTTAGTACAGAGTTAATATCTGTCACATACAGTGGTACTTCAGTTGATGAACTTAACTCTTTCCACAATTCAGGTCACAACAGAATTGCTCACGAACCAAATCAATTCCGTTGTTAGGTTCAGTGTTGACTTTATGGGAAAATTTGATTTGGTTCTTAATCCAGGTCAGTTCACAACCAGAACTGTGGAAAGAATTGAGTTTGTGAGCCAAGGTACAACTGTATAAGGAATTCCTATGTTTTAGTAGTGGGAAACCAACCTGATGGAAGCAAGCAGAAAGGACTGGCGTGACTGTTTCTGTAAAGAAGACGTGCAAGTGGCCAGCAGGTACATGGAAATGCATCACAATGAGGCATCGCCTCACACCTGTTAGAATCACCATTATTTTTTAGATGGAAAATAATAAGTGTTGGCAATGGTATGTGGAGAACCGGAACCCTTGTACACAGTTTGTAAGTGTAAAATAGTGCACCTGCTATGGAAAACATTATGCTACCTTCTCATAAAATTACAAATAAATACCATGTGATCCAGCACTCCCACTACTCACTGTACACCCAGAGGAAATGAAATCAGGATCTTGGAGAGATATCTGCACGCCCACGTTTATTATAGGCTCATTCACAGTAGACAAGTCATACACGCGACCTGATGTTTATTGACAGATGAATGGATTTTCAAAATGTTGTATGCATACACAATGGAGTGTTATTCAGTTTTTAAAGAGAGACTCTTGCCATTTGCCACAACATACATGAAGCTTGAGTACATCATGCTAAGCTCAACACAGAAAAACTAGTACTGCATGATCTCATTGATATGTGGTGTATACAGCAGTTAAACCCATAGAAATAGAAAATAAAATGGTGTTTGCCAGCAACTTGGAAGAGGGAAAATGGAGGGTGGCTTTAAACCGGTATAGAGTTTCAGTCATACAAGATGAGAAAGTTCTGGAAACCTGCACAACATACAGCCCATCTGCCCATCAGTTGGAGACTGGATAAAGACAGTGTGGTTTTTCTATAAAATGGAATACTACTCAGCCACAAAGAATGAGAAATAGAGTCATTCATAGGAAAATAGATGCATATTGAGGCCATACTCTTAAGTGAAATAAACAAGATACATACACATGTGTAGATACTGAATAGGTTTTCTGGTACGAAAAACTAAAAGTGTAAATAAGATCCAAGTTGTATTAACTGATCATGTGAAACAGGAACAAAAGGGCTAAAGGTGTAAAGGAAGTGGGAAGGGCAGGGGAAAGGAAATAAGGGACAAGGAAAAATACGAGAAAAGGAAAAAAATGGAAATAAGTCTTTGTAAATAGGGAAGGGAGGAGGGGTGAAGGGAGGGCAGAGGTATGGGGAAAAAATGAGAACCAAGATCTGTCGGGTAAGGGTACAAGATCCCAATGATGAATGTAACTGTACTATATACTTAAAAAGTACCAATGAACTCAAGATTTTAAAAAATTGTGCTCATAGTTAATTGCTGTACTAGACAGTAAAAAATTTAGGACAGTAGATTTCATGTTAGGTACTTATTATAATAAAGTTTAAATCTTAGGATTTATCTAGCTTGGGTTATTGACTACAAGTTATCAAACAGCAGTAGAGACAAATGAGATGTTTTGTAGGTTCTTTTAACATGGATATTTTAAATGCTGTAGGTAAAATAGAACCCTTTGAAAAAGTTTTAACTGCTTGATCTTTAGATGTTACAGAAAGCCTCAAGGCCTTGTTTTGCACCGTCTGAACTATTTCTACAGAATATGCGGTCTGATCAAAAATACAATGAATGTGGCCTCTACTATAATTTGAATTAGTTACTCATCAGGTTGGGTTTTTAGGGTTGATTTTTGATCATGCTGCGTAAGAAACCAAGACTCTTCCCTCAGACCGTCCCAGCTCGTGTCTCCCTGGGTCCTTACATTCACGGGGACTTGAGAGAGAAGCAGACGAGGGAGGCCCCCTGAACACCTTCGTTTCCCAGCTTTTCCCAGAGGGTCTCCTCTGAGAACCCTTGGAAGTTTGGAGACGGCTCTCGGGAGAAAATGGGGTGCCATTGACCCTGCCACTGAGTTTCTCTGACACTTTGTTATAGCCAGCTCAGGCACTGCTGACAGAATCCCTTGAGTCTCTAAAGAAAGTGAGGAAATGTACAGTTGTCCTTTCCTATCTGTGGTTTCCTCATCTGCAGATTCAACCCACCCTGGATTGAAATATTTTCTTTTTAAATTGTGTCTGTACTGAATATGCACAGAGTTTTCTCCATTCCCTACATAACACAATATAACAAGTGTTTACACAGCATTTACACTGTATCACATAGAGAAGGACATCGAGAGATAATGTACGAGTATAGAAAGGTATATGCGGTTTACCCGTAAATTGTTCCGTTTTACAACAGAGACTTGCGCAACGTTGGAATTTGGTATCTGTAGGGGATCCTAGACCAATCCCTATGGGTACCAGCTACCAAGGGATGATTTAGCCTCGCTTGAATTAACTTTTGAATCAACAAATAACTACAGAAAAGTTCCGGTTTGTGTGTTTCTCAGCAAGAGCATGTTTAAAAGAAAGAGTTTTTTAATACTTTAAAATCTGAAGTGAGAATTGAAGCAGATATGTTTTATTTTTAATGGAAACAAACATTCACTGTGATTTTTAAAACTGGGTTTTCTTCTTAAGTGTACTATGCAGCTTTGTGAAGCCTGATGAATTACTGATGGAAACAAGAAGGCACTGGCACGATTGTATCGTGGTGATTTATTTTTCTTCTTTTATTGTTATAATATTATTTGTGTGGTAGAACTGAGTAAAATGTCTACTGTTAATAATGATCACCACACGCGCTCAAAAGAGGAACACATTTGAAGGGGAAGCACGCTACAGTGCTTCTGAATGTCCAGCAAAGCAGCCACTTGGGGCAGGTTGGTACTTCGACTCCCTAGGAAGTTACTGTTGCTCTCCCGTGTGGTGCTTTAGGATAGTTTAATGTCATGGTTGGCTGTGCCCCTTTCTTTCATTGTCTGCGACTGCAGTGTCATTCTTTGCTCACTTATCGCCCTCCTGTTTCTGCGCTGCCCCCGTGTCTCCACAGATCATTCTGTGCTTCTCTCCGGTCGGTCACACGCTGAGAGTCAGAGTGCGGAAGTTCCCAGCCATAGTTAGCTGCTCGGCTATTGACTGGTTTCATGCGTGGCCGCAGGAGGCTCTGGTCTCGGTCAGCAGGAGGTTCATTGAGGAAACCGAAGGAATGGAGGTATGCTGTGTCAGCCTGCGTCTCATTCTCTCTCCCACAACCGTACAAGCGCACACACGTGCATACTACCTACAAATCCACGGTAGATAAGCATGCTCCAAAGTAAACTTTATTTAAGACGGTGCCCTTACTTAAGATAAGGAATCGCCTCTTCTTTAATGTTCTGTGGAAAGGGTCGCTCACCTTTTCCCACTACGTGGAGATGGGTGTGCAAGCCCCCGTGAACACTCAGCACTTGAGTGGGTTCTCACTCGTGTACTAACTCACAAGAAGGCCAAGGTCATTTCTTCCTTCAAGCAATAGATATCACTAAACTAAATCTTTTAAGTCCACAACTGCAAATAAAAGTATACCAGGCTGTATTTGATTGCTAACAAAGCCAGGCTGTTAATTGTGATCGCTCTCGCTACAGGACTGACAGCCCCCATCAGTTTGACGATCACTAGGTCAAATCATTTTTCTGCTTTTTTGTTTTATGGGTTATCTTGCTCATTTCTTCGTGATGAAACTCACGCTGCCCCCTGCCCCGTTATATTTTTAAATGGTTGCATGAAAGGAAAAAGAAGGCTTTAGGCGTTTGCATTCAAAGAGAGAGGAATATAAGTATGAAGCTATTCGTAGGAAATTTTATTTTGTGTCTGGTATCTCTCTGATTAGACTGATCACAGAGGCAGCAGTGGTGCACGTTTCCCAGAGAACTTTGTCCTATCATTCCATGGAGCGATAGGGTGAAAGCTGCCTAGCATGATTCTGACGCTGAAAGTGACTCTCAGAGCCAGAAACAGAATGAGGGCTGTGTAAGAGTGGTGTCTGTTCCTAGATGCAGATTTACCATAAGCAGACATTCGTTGCTTCAACAGCATAACTGCTGCCTTTCCAAAGCAGTCATTTAATACTTCGTGAACATTATTACATCTGTTTCTGCCCGTGTGCCTAGAAAACCAGGCATATTTTTATATTTATTTTTTTGTATGCAGCTAGCTTTATTGTTACATAATTCTTCTTTTACTTGTATTTTTTCAAAGCATTGACATAGGTAAACAGGCAGATCCTCACTTACACTGACCCAATGTTGTAGACAGAAACCTCGTCTTTGGTCTTTTCCTAAAATGCCTGTTAATCTAATTCCGTAGCGCCGGACTCAGAGGGAAGACCTGTCCAACGGTGTCTGCCTGGGAAGATGCAGGTGTGGTAGAGGGTTCTAGTTATCCAATTATCTTCCTTCTCCTCTTCTCCAAGCTTAAAGCTTGTCAGAAATATTTGATACTTCAAAATCTGGAAAGCCATTAAAAATGACACATACTGGTCAGAGGTACTAACAGATTTCTTGGGCAATGGCTAGGATCATTGCACTGTTAAAATCCTGTAGGGCATGATTTTATCTCCTAAGAGTTACAAGAGGGATTTGAAACAATGTGCTGTATTAGAAGGAATCCATGTTTTATCTTTTGATAGCAAAGTTTGGTTTTATCCAGTTCATGTTTACCAGGCAGGTTTATTTAGTAAGGACCTTAAAGAATCACTGCACCTTGTTGATGAATGTTACTTTTTCATAGGGCAGGAAACCATAGCTAGTAGGACAGTTTAAGCTCACAGTGGGTGCAGGTTCCTAAGTTCCCTGTCTTTGCGGCTCTAGGCGGGCTTTCTCCTGCCCTTTGAAAACAGTTCAGGCTAGAGCAGCTTCGCTGTGGCAGTGACCATTGACACCTGCTGGATGCGGCAGGATTTGCATCATTTGAAGTTCTGAGGGCTTCTGTCAGGTGCTAAACTGTGTCTGATGGTGTCCTGACGCCTCCTATAGGATTCCAAGTGCCAAATAGGAATTCTGAAAGCACTTTACCCTATCAAGCTGAATTATGCCTAGAAACAAATTAGCCAGATGATTTCACTTCAGCACAAGGTGCTTATTTAACTTTCCCACCTTCTTAATTTGTTGCTCAGGAGCAATAATGATATTTCAGAGTGCAGTGTGTCTGTGTACTTCGAAAAACACAGTGTCATTTCTGTGGAGGTCAAAATCAGCTTTTAAATTTTTTGAATGAGTGCTAATTTGATTGCTTTCTTAGTTTTAATTTCCATCATTGAGACTGAAAGTTATCAACACAATTTAGGCACTTCTTAATTATTGACCTCATTTGATGAGTGTATGGTACTCACACAAGGTGCCCCCTCATTGGCCATCCAGAAAAGATTCATTAACAGCAAACAGATTGGTACCTGTTGATGTATAATTTTCAGTTAGTACACACTAAGCACCCAGGGGTGTAGGCTGACTGCATCTAAATAAATGTTTGTGCTATTTTTCTGTTACCTGATATTGAACTAAATGACAGTTGGCCCGAAAAAATGACAGTTTGACACTTACTGTCACTGGGTATCTATCTGAAGACTTTGTGTCAGCACACGCTACTTTTCACAGGAGATTTGGAAATGGAGATGGGAGGTGGTGGCACAAGGAGGGAGAGGAGGAAAGGCCTTCTGCTGATCCCTGAGGACAGAGCCGGAAATGCCATGGGAAGAACTTTGGGGAGGTGACTGGGTGAAGACGTTGCTGTTTAGAGGTTGGGTTCCAGTGAAGCCCATGCAAGAAGGAAAAAAAAAAGCAAGAGGCACTGGGACATTAAAAAGAAAAGCAGCTCTTTTGCATTTCAAGGCAAGTTGAACAAAAGACGTACTTGAAAGTAGGGCCAGAATTCTGAAAGCACTTTACCCTATCAAGCTAGATGAAAGGAGAAATGATTAAATAGGAACTGAAAATAAGAGCTGTCTGACTGTGGGTGAAATGTGACGTAGGAAGGCGTAGAGATCTGAGCTGGATGGAGGAGCCCCTCTTTCCCAGGCTGCCACCACTTTGGAAATTGTTACAGAATTTCGCCTATGAGCGGCGTATTTCATTATTTTCTCGAACCAGCCATGAGACATGTCCACTCAAAAAGAAAGTATTTTACTGCTGGAAAGATTTATTTTTCTGTTGGCCTAGAAGTTCTTTTTAAAAATACTAAGCCACACAGAAGGAGTGTTGCTGTTGTATGATAGCTGTATAATTTTAATTCTTTTTAGAATATTTCTTCCTTTGAAATATGAATTTGGATTATTTGGTATGAATAAAGTAAAAAATGTTTGTGATCTAGAAATCTGTGCATTTTGGGAAAATAGCGTCTTTCTAAGAAATGCTGAACACATTTCGAAATCTTACATCAAAAGCAAATGCAACCAAATTCATCTTGGACTTACTTCAGTCTCACACTGGCTTTAGCCTGCCTTAAATGGGTGAAGAATAACCCAGGCAATCATTTTCATCCTCTCTCCCTTCTGCCCTCTTTCTCCTTACCCAGGCACACGAATATCTGTCCGTCATAAAGTCTTGCTCTGTCCATGTGAACTGTGTTTAGAATGAAGTTACAAAAAGGAGTAGACTGTTGTGTCCCAGGGTTTTTGCTTTGTAAACTTTAGAAAATACCTCTACCATAAAGGTCTGTGGTTTTGTGTGGTGGCCCAGGACTCTGGACACACCCCTAAGCTAAATGTTATACTGACTCCCATGGAGCCATCGCTGCTGTTCATATTTGCAGTTTTGTGAACCTTCTTGAAGTTCTTGTGAGTTTCTTGAGGCTTCACCAGAGCCAGAGAAACCACGTCCTACCTGTGCTCTTGCTCTCAAAGGCATAGCTAGGTTTTATTTGGCCTGTTTGCCCTCTCAGCCCCCAGTTACTGCTTCATTTTAATGTCCTGCTGGAGAGCCCATTGGAGCCACCTTTCATGACTGGAAACTATCTCATCTGGAAGACTGTTGACTTAAGCTGAACTTGAAGAAATCATCAAACTAATAAATTGCATTCACCAACCAGAGAAACAGCTGGAAACAGCAACCACTATGCAGTTTAGAACATGTGTTTGTGCTGTAAGAAGCACTTGCTGCTTCTCTGTGCAGTGGCAGTCTTATTGAGGACACTGTTGGTGTTGCCACCTCAGCAGAAGCAGTACCTGTCCTGAGTTTGCCACGGTCACCCTCCTGAGGAGGGACACTAGCTACCTGCTGACAGGTGAGGAGTAGGGTCCTCAGAACAGCTAACCCAGAGGTAAAGGATCCACCTGCTGTTGACACCAGCACCCAGTCTTCCTCCTCTTGACTCTTACATTAATTCTTGACTATTTTGAAGGAAGGAAAAAAGGAAAAGAAACAAAAAGTAATTTTGTGGGCAGGAGGAAGCATAGAGGATATAGTGAGTCACTCAGTATTTCAGACTTGGAAATCTAAGGTAGGTCCTAGGATCAAACTCTTCATCTTTTGGCCACTTCCAGAATCTGTTTCTGAGTAAGTGCTGTGAGGAGCTTGGGAGAGGTGCTGCAATGAAATACTGCTCATTTTCTGCATTATTAACTTTTCTTTATGCAATAAACCGTCTTATTATCAGTGTCTGGTTAATGTATTCTTTTACCAGCCTCAAAGGAGTGAAAATGGAAACAATAGATTGTTATAGCTCAGTAGTTTGACATTTTTTAAATGAACACAGAAATAATTTCTCAGAAAAAATTTCAAGATTTATCGTGGGCATATGACATTATATGTGACAAAATTGTCCCAAACTCAACTTTTAAAAAGTTCATTCATCTTCCCCCTTTTCTTTTGGCCTTTCCTTCTTTCCCATTTCCCTACTTTTCTACAGTTAATACCGTACTGTTCAAAGTGTCAGCTTATTAAAGATATTTGGATTAGTGCTGGCATTTGGTATTGGTTTGCGTGCGACTTGTATTCTCAGTTTCAGCAAGGGAGATACGCTGAGCAATTGCTTGAAAAGCCAGGTGGGTGGCCAGAGTAGTTGGTGTGACAGGCGGTGACTGCTATTGCCTGGGAACTATCATACCACATAACAGAGAGTTTATGGTTTTGTGTTTACAGCGAGCCAACCAAGTAAATAAAAATTAAACACTATTTTCTTAATGTGAGAAAAAGCAGTTTCACTTTTGCATTTCATTATGCAACATTCTTTTCCAAAGCATCCTAGTGGGAAACATTGGATTGATAACCATCTGATATTGGCACTCTGATTTTTAGTTTTGCCTTCACCACAATTGACTGAAAGTGACTGCAAGTGGCATTGACTGGTTTTCATGAAGGGGCAAATCTAGCAGGAATGATGTTCTTCTCTGGCATCTCTCAGAGTACAAAATACAGCACTGTGTTGCCATTGCTACTGCAGCACTGGCAGCCACCCCTCCTTACTCCCCCCTCAAAAGAAAACTGGAGATAAATGAATGGCAGAATAAATAATTTATGCTAATGAAATTACTGCAATTAGTAGTTCTACAATGACCCTTTTAAAAGCCACAGCTGTTAATGTCAGGAAGTGCTGTCACTACTGACCTTATCATAAGAGAAAGTGACAAATTGAGAATGCAGGGAAGACCAGTCATCAAAGAGGTCTGTTCTGGAACGATTAGAGTTTTCTGAAAAACAGTGTGAATTACAACCAGCTGCTCCCAGGCTCTGTGAGTCTCCCATGCTGTGCCATTTTGTTAAGCCCAATAACAATAGTTATTTTGCCCCATTGAGACAAGTTGTCTCGGGCCACTTCCAGCCCCACCGGAAACCACTCTCCATTGGAGATTTACAAATGAAATTGTTGTTAAAGAGAGCTTGCAGGGCTACAAGAAGCCTCCTCATAAGGATCATGGTTCAGCAGAGGCCAGGGATTTTTTTTTTTTCCTGTAAAGACGTGATACTTGGCCAGGAAGTATTTATCTGTATTGTAGAAAGGTATGTGTGCACTTCTAGTTTCCTTTAGAACAAGACAGGGCAGGAGGGCATGTCTGCCCATGCTTATAGTGAGTGAATCTAGGTGCTCTTAAAAATAAAGTCCTCAAGTGAATGTGACTTGAGTTTGGTTTATATAAACTTCCTTGTAAATTCTATTTTTCTGAGTCCAGTATTTGGTAATACACATGTATCTTGGATTTCTAGAAACAAAGACTAGGATTTGCATCCGGGCTTTTACATGTAATTTTTACTTTAAAAATACGTTTCAGTTGCTAGTGAGGTAGATATTTAATATGCAGAGTAATCTGATACATGCTGCTTTTACATCCACTCAGTGATTTGTCCCAAGGTTGGAAAGTGATAGGTTTAAAGATGTTGCCCAGGAGCAGTTCGTGGTTTTTCCACTAACATGGATTGGCCTGTCTGTACTCACCCTCTAACTGGAATATTGATGGTGCAAGTTCAAAACGTTTAACTGCATCACCAGCCACTTGTGCATAATTTTCCCAAAGATACCTGAGCATTATTGACAACACTTTGGTAAATTATGTGTGACTTTCCTAAGAGTTGGTGTAGCTCATTTAATTCATATTAATTGATTTTTAGGCTTCCCTTGATTAATTGAACCTGGTTCATCTTGTACAGAATGCAATAAATAATCATTAAAATGAGGGAGATGTGACTCCACAAATTAAAAAGTTAACTACTTCAGAAGTCACAGAGGACACAGTGGAAAGAATGAATAGCAGGGGCCCTCCAGGAAATCTTCAAAGGAGAGTTACTTAGTTATATGTGTATCTGTGTTTCCAAATGAAAATTGAGGTTATCATTACATTTTCTCCTAGTATTGACTTTTATAATTTACCCATCTTTTTTGTTTTAATACGAGTTTTCATAGAACTTTTAATTCTGAGCTTCAGCATTTTTTTCTGTGACTTTGGTGGGTTATTAATCTCTGTGTCTAAAATTTAGTTGGAAAGCAGCACTAAACATTGCTCTTTGGAATATTGTGTCTGCTTTCTCCACTTTCTCTTTCACACACTTGATAAAGAAAAATCAAGTTGCAAAAGAGCTGCACTTGTATTATATGTTGGCTTTTAGGTTTGGTATGTGGAGCACATAAAAATCCTTTGTCCTACTTGGCAAGAAGATGGTTAGGAGAGCTGAATGCTCTATTGTAATCTCTCTGATCCTGTGGCTATCTCTTCAAGATCAAGTGAGTTTTCCTAACTTGTACTATAATTTGTTCTGGCTTTTAGGAAGAAAATAGTATATAATCTTTTGGGGGTTTTTTCTTCTACTTTTTAGATATTTTTACCTTGAGAAAAATCTTATTAAAATTACAATGTTTATGTTTTCAGGCAGTGCACAAAGATTCCATTAGCCTCTTCATGGCCTATGTTCACACAAGTGTAAATGAAATGAGTGCCAGGTATTACCAGAATGAAAGAAGACACAACTACACCACTCCAAAGAGTTTTCTAGAACAGATATCACTGTTTAAGAATTTGTTGAAGAAGAAACAAAAAGAGGTAGCTCAGAAAAAAGAGCACTTACTGAATGGAATCCAGAAGCTCAAAACCACCGCCTCTCAGGTATGACCAGATGTGCTTCTCCTGAGTGCAGTCTCTGCTCTTTCATAGAAAAGTATACTTCCTTTTGAAGCAATACATATGCATTATATAAGATGCCTGTTCTCACAGTTACAGTTTGAGAATGCAAGCAACACACCCCTAGTGCTTTTGCTTTCCTAAACCTGGTACGGACTAACCAGTTATTCTTCACAGCTGGTTTGGGGAGACATCTTTTCTTCTTGTCCAAACCCATGTGTGGCCATATGGGGATGTTGGAGGGGCAGACACACATGTTCCCCTCTCCTATCTCAGCTTCTTTGGGGACATGGGCTTATGGTCAGGAATTTGGACATTCTGGGATGAAATAAGGTCCCTTTTGCTCTCACCCCATCCCCAGCAAGGGTCTCATGACCTTGGTGAGGCCCCCACGTACAGCAGTTTTATTCACTCTTGATGTCTGATGTGGCCTTTTCAGCACCAGCTCTCTTGAATAAAGGTGTCCAGTAAGAGCTTCATCCTTGGTGGTAAAAGCCCTGCTTCCTTCAAGGGAAGACTGTCTGTAACTAGCAGGAGTAATCAGTAGAGAATTCCCACAGAATGCTAATCTTATCTCATTGTTAAAACCAATCAAGTCTGTAAAGTAGGTCTTACACCTGCAGTTTCATACATGAGGCTTAGAGAGTTCAAGGCCAAAGGGCCAGTGAGGTTGGGGCTTAAACCCAGATCTGTGTTATTCTAATGCTCATGCGTTACCCATGCTACCATGCTGTCTCTCTGTGACCTGATACGAGAGGCTGTTCGGACTTTGGAGAGTAACCCAGCCTTTCTCTAAGCACCTGGACCCTAAGCTGGAATAAAATAAGTTCTCACTGATGGTCATCTCAAGGCCACCAATATGGTGGGCTTTTCCAAGTTTTGTTATTGGGTCCTACTGCCATAGGCTTTTTTTTTTTCATTGAGTTTATTGGTACTTTTTAGGTATACAGTACAGTTACGTTCATCATTGGGACAGTATACCTTTATATGACAGGTCTTGGTTCTCATTTTGCCATAGGCTTTTTAAGGGACAGTTTTTCTCAGCTCAGCTTTTCTCCAAGAGGGCTGAGCAGCTATCAGTTACTAAGCTAGAAATAAGATATGGTTACCTTTCTTCTTGTAAAGATGCTCTCTGGCCATGTTCTTCAAGCACCTTGTAGGCCAAAGCGCACCCAGCTCTTTCCTACTGAGTTCCACACTTGGGGAATAGTTCCATGATGAAGAATTGTGGACTGAGCCGTGAATAGGTAGGTCATGATTAGGAAACAGAAACCACAGTGAGGTTTGGAGGACAGTTACATCGAGTGATACAAAGAACAGTTGCGGGGAAACCCTCCAAGATCATATCCGTATGTGTACTGCTCCTTCCGCTCCAGTGAATGTCTCATTGCCCCACTCTTTCCCTTTTCTTTTTCTTTCCTTGTCTCAACTTTTCCTTCACCTAAACAATAGCCTTTTCCCTAATGAAGATTTTCCTCAAAGTCCAATTGAGCTAATATGTTGGGCTAAGAAGGAAGAAGCTCTATGTCAAGATCGTTCGTGTCCCCTTGTTTTATGTCTCAAACAAAACCTGGTGACTTTGCCTATGGGAATGATAGTGTGGTCACCCAAACCGAGCTGTCAGTAGTAGCAGGAAAGCCCTAGCAAAGAAAAATAGTGATTCCGCCACACTTAAGGAGTTTTCTCCCCGTATAGCAGAGCTAAAGACAAGTGAAATAGCATCCTGGCTCATCCTGCGGTAGTAGCTTCTCAGCCATAGCGAGAAGGAGTCTGTGGTCTCTCAGTCATCCCAGTGATGTATTGAGTCACAGGGTCAGGGAGAGGAAGAAGCAGGAGCTGTTGCAGGGTTGTACAAAGTTTGTGAGGATACAGGAAGCCATGGTGGATGAAATACAGGTGGTTTCTTTTCATGAGGTATCTGGATATGGAATGCTTTCATTGTCGGAGGAGTGGTTTAGATATTTAATAGCCACTTGACTATTTTAGAAAAATCATTTATTATGAAAAGGAAGTATGGTTACCTGTGGAGAAAACTAAAGAGCCTTAGGGTGTAGGATCAGGCTGTGTGTGAAGCAAAACACCTTCATCTTGGAGTATGCATCCCCCACGGGAGGTCTGTGGTAAGCAGTTTGACAAATTCCATGGACAAATGTGCCATTGGAGACCTAGCCAATCCTTAGCAATGTGCATTCATTACAGTACAGCTACAACCCTTTACAGCCGTACAACCCCCTCTAGATGTCATTTTACATCATTGCAGATAGCTGCAGTGACGTTTTTCACTGGTAAAGGCTCCTTCCAGAGCTGGAGTTACTTCGTATATTTCAGAGCTAATCACTCCCTTAAAAACTGAAATGAGGCCGGAAGTGGTGGTGCACTCCTGTAATCCCAGAACTCGGGAGGCTGAGGCAGGAGGATCGCTGTGAGTTCGAGACCAGCCTGAGCTACATAGTGAGTTCCAGGTCAGTCTCAACTACATAGTGAGACCCTGTCTCAAAAAACAAACAAACAACAACAACAAAAAAAACTGAAATGAGGGCTAGGAATAACATGATTCTCCCTAGACCGGTGATGGCAAACCTATATGTTGGCTTTTAGGTTTGGTATGTGGCACAACACATGTGCCACAGTGGGCTGTTTGTTATCACTAAAAGCTCTAAAAGGTTCACCACCACTGCCCTAGACTCTCAGATGAGTCTTAACTATGGCCAGACATAAGATGAGTTTTAATGGTGGAAAAGAACAGAGAAGTAAGTGTTACTGTGTCACTGTGTTACCCTGAGTACACAGAAAGGCTAAAATAAATCAGGCTTGTGCCTGGGGATGTAACTCAGTGGCGCTGTACCTGCCTGGTAAGTGCAAGGTCCTGAGTTTGATCCCTGGTATCAGAAAAAACATCAGGCTTAAACTCAGATAGTGCAAATAGAAGTCATAGTAGTCACGCTTTTTAGGTACAGTGTAAATAATTATATTAGGGTGAGGTTTATTAGCCCAGTTGGATGCAGTAGTTGGATATTTGACAAATGAAACCACGAAAGTACACAAATAAGTCAAAAATGATAATGGCTGTGTGTGATGGTATGCACCTATAATCCAAGTGTTTGGGGAGGCTGAGGCAAGAGGGATGCAAGTTCAAGGCCTGCCCAGGCAATTTAGTGACTTAATGAGATCCTGTCTCAAACTAAAAATCAAATTGAGAAAGCCATAGGGATATAGCTCAGTACAGAGGCCCTGGGTTCAATTCTCATTACCACCAAAAAAATTATGATTCTGGATATTCAAAATAATATTTTTATTTCTGGAAAATGAGTAGAGAGCTAATTATCATGATTTTATACATTTCTGAGAACTGAGTCACATTTTTCTGTAGCACTTCGTTTCTGCTCTGCTTTACATTTTCCTCAGACTCAGAAATGAATCTTTCTTTTGAGCTGGTGCCCTTTGTTGTTGCTGCAGAAAGGCTGCATCTCCTGATGCCTCGCCTGAGATAGCCCAGCAGTGGGCCGGTCCACAGCTCTGTCACTCTCCGGTCTTCTGTTAGTGCTGGTGCCCCCCAGAGCACACAACTCTCCCTTCCCTCTAGGTAGTCAGTTCATGTGGGGTTGGCTCCATGGTCCTAAATCAAATGGCACAGAACCTGAGAAAAGTGAAACAGCCGTTTCATGAAAGGTGGGAACAGGTAAGCCCTGTCGTGGGCATTTCTGCTTGCAGCCAGTTAAGTTGCAGACAAGGAAGGAGAATTCGTGTCTTCTGCTTATCTAGAGGCTTCAGTGGACCCCTGTTGATGAATGAGTACAAGCCGTGGTTCTCCAGCTTGTCACCGAGCCTGTCTTCCCGTGCCCCCTGTACCTTGAGTCCAAGCTGCATAGAACCAGAAAAGCATGGGGGTTTGTGTGGTGTTTGCTTGGCCACAGAACTCACTTGGTGTTTCCCTGAGTGCACGGGTTAATTAGCAAAGAAAAATGTAAGCTTAGTGCCAACACAAATCCATTGCATTTCTTGAAGAAGAAGAAAAAGAAAACATTGAAAACATTATTCTGTTTCTTCTAGTGCAGTGAGGGGAGGATTGGGCTGCATTTTTATAAATGAGACTACAGTAAAATCGAGGAGGCCATCAACAAATGAACTGTTGTTAGGGAAAAATAAACTATATCTGCTTTTTGTTGTTATCCATGCAAGTTACTCCAGAGCAATGACTTTTCCTTTCTTTAGGTGGGAGATCTGAAAGCCAGACTTGCCTCACAAGAAGCTGAGTTGCAGCTAAGAAATCGTGATGCTGAAGCTCTGGTCACAAAGATAGGGCTTCAGACGGAGAAAGTGAGCCAGGAAAAGGCCATCGCGGACTCTGAGGAGCAAAAGGTCAGGCTAATTCCACCATTTAGAGTGGTGAGCTATATTTAGCACAAAATAAACCTTTATAGGTGAACAATTTTGAACAACTTCCTTTCCAGGGAGCATAAAGTCTAAAGAATTATTATAGTTACACATGTAACAGCATTTCACACCATGATTACCACTTGACCTTTCTTTACATTATGCATTTTCCCAACCTTTTAGCTCTTTTAATGATATGAAAGAACAATAAATACTGAGCTCATTCAAGCATATAATGGATGTGGATCTTGAACATCAGGCCTATTTGTAATACAGTAAAGGTCAGGAAGTCACCTCCGAGGTTTCTAAAGGTTTTCAGTTTTTAGGCAAATGGAACAACTCAATTGTTAACAAAGCCCATTCCGTCACTTTGCAAGATGGTTTTCAAATTTTGCATTTTAATAATATAACTGGAGTTTATTATTAAGTCCTAAGCTAAATTTGTTCTTTTTGGTTCAGTTGGAACCCTGGCATTCGGTATTATGTTTTATTGTTGGAAATGATTACTTTTAAGATTATATAGATTCTGGTTTTTTGTACTTAGGTTCCTAGCAGTTCTCAAAATAAATGCAACTTCTTTTGTCATCTTTTTTAATTTTACCAAAAATTCAGCTCCCAATGAAAGACATTTTTGTGTACCTTATCTCCCAAAAGATGCAGCTCAGTAAACAGATGATTGATAAATATATTTTTAAATTAAATGTATATGTGAGAGAGAAAATTTTCTTGTTTTGGACAAAAGATTATTTAAAAATTTTAAATTCTTTACACTCTCCCAATCTTTGAAACAGTAGCCATTATGCCATCATTGTTGTATTTTAGGATATCAGAAGATATTTGCGTTTTTTTGGTCTTGTTGCCAATCGTTCATTTGTAATTGAATATCTCTTTTTTTCTAATGGTATTGAGTGTATTTTCACTCATCTTGCACAGGTACTTAAAACTATATTGAAAATTAAAACAGCAAATAAGCATTTTAAAAATAAAATGTGAAATATTTGAGTTTGTGACAATCAAAGCACATTTGGCCTGAGCAACAGGCACATAATTCCTAATTTGGGTAATGAATGTTTCCACTGTATTTCAGATAAGCGAGAATGTCTTTAGAAGTATATTATTATATTAAACAATTAGGTATCACACATGGTGTGATTATGCTAAGCTAATTCTACCCAGGGAGTGTTTTTCAGGCATTGTGTAAATGTCTGATGTTTCAGTAATTATTGTATCATAACCTATCACCAAGGATACATTTTGGAGATCTTAAAATATGACAAAGATACTACAGGTATTTTTTTTATTTTTTTCTTGTGAATTCCTAAGGTAAAATTATCTTCATAAAGTAAGAAAAAGATGCTAGCAAGTTAGAATTCGTCTGATAGGTGGTTCCATAAGATTGTTTAAACATGAAAAAGATGCAAACTCTTTTGTATACGTAACCCATGCCAAGAAGTAAAAATAAAACATACTTTCATTTTACCCATAGAGCTTAATAAACAAGTATGAACTCAGCTTTTCGTTAGAGGGTGTCAGGCCCTGCTATTGGCTCTTAGGGATATTTGACTACCTTCATTTCACTGGGGGGGAAAAAAATGGGTATCAAGCAAAACTTTGAGAAACAAAGTATTTTGAATTAATGATAGGGTTCTGATGAAATCAAATAGATGAGATAGCAGAAGGTAGTATTTTAAATAGGTTGATCATGGAAAGAAGATGTGTTTGCAGTTAAACTACATAGAGTTACAAATTAATTAACACCTGGGTACGTACTGTGGCCTTACAGGTCTTGTATTCCGTGCTGGATACTATACAGTTACAAAAGAGAGTGAATGCGGACTCTTTGTGATCTGTGAAGTTGGGCCCCCCACGCTCAATACATGAGTAGTAATTAAAAAGTAATGCTGTGTGATTTACTAAGCACATTGCCACATTTACTAGGACTAAGCAAATGTTGCAGTTTAGCAATCAGCGTGCTACGTGTGTTGATAGCCCACACAGAGAAGCAGATTGAAATCATTGCTTTAAATTTATGAAGTAATCCAGGACCGCTGTCAGGGGCTTCAAGCTGCACAAGCCCAACTAGGCTTGTGAGGTGGTTCTTCCATCCTTGACTTATCGGCTCCAAATTCTAAAGCTCTAGGCACCCTATGATTCCTTGCAGCTGCTTTCTTTGTGTGGGGCAGGACCCTCATGAGTGGAAGCAACTTCTCAGTTGGAGTGCTAATGCAAGACCTTCAAAAACGGAGTCTCCGCCTTGATTTTGAGTGGTTGTCCGTTTCTCTGTGTGTTTCTTTTCGAAGTGTGAGTGGATCTGGGTTTTGGAGGACCATCAGGAATGTCATGTGGTATGAAAGCAGGTAAGAGCAGTGTATCAGTTTGCTAGAGCTGTCACTAGCAGAATACTATAAGCTAGGAGACTTAACTAACAGAAGTTCATCTTCTCCTAGATTTGGAAGCTGATGTCAGGACTGTTTGGGCAGGTTTCTCCTGAGACATTTTTCCTTGGCTTGCAGATGGCTGCCCTCTCGTTCTGTCCTCACATGGCCTTTCCTCTGTGAGCGCTCACACATCCCTGGTCTCTCTTCTGTTTCCAGACTTCTTCCTCTGAGGACATCGACTAGGGCTCTTCTTTACGGTTTCACTTTAACCTCGTCACCTCGGCAAAGGCGCTATCACCAAACAGTCACATTCTGAGATCTTGAGGGTTAAGACTTCCACATATAAATTTTGGGTAGATACAGTTCGATTCAACCAGTTTTTGAGATTTTATTCTCTCCTTGTCATCACCACAAAATTCTATCTGCGAGGAGCTCTGGCCTAATAGGAAGCAGAAGGTTTCTGGCATACCCAAAGATGGAGCTCTCTCCATCTCCGCTTTGAAATCCATGGTCCAGGAAAGCACACATCCAAGACCATCTCCACAGCTTCTCTGCCTTCACCAGGTTGAGCCTTGCTGACCACTGCTTCCATCAGGCAGAGAAAGTTACTCCCTGCTGCTCAGGAATCCTCTGAAATACACAGAATTTCCACTATGCTAGTGTTGTTGTATCTGAGGGTAAGAGGTATTGCAATGGAATGAGAAATAAGTTGACCAACCATGTTTTTATTTAATGTTCAAGATTATATTGCTTATAAAAATTACAGAAAATAGTAATAGTCCATTAATAGTCAAGGAATCCAAAGGTGAAGCGTGGCTGTGCCCAGGTTCATGAAATAGCATTAAGAGAAGGACCCTTCTAGGTTTCTCCTGCCACTAAAAATCTATGGTCATAAGTCATTTAAAATAATTTTCAATGGCTCCATTGTAAGTGGTAACAGCATTTATGTAATCACTGTGTCCTCATGGAAGACAGATAAATCTGGAGAAGTAACTCATAAGCTGTCCTTGGGAGCATGTTCTCTAGCACACTGAAAATAGAGCATTCCTAAGAATTTTCATGGTCTATTCCTGGAGAGTTTTGAGGATTGTGGTTTTGAAGTGGTTCTCAGTAAGCATGCAGAGTTTTCTTATTTACATTAACAGTAGCTGTGTGTGTATTAGCAGGAGATCACATATCTACCCTGAACCAATTATGTTCATAAAAGGTGCAGTATACAGCAAAATAATGGTTAATCAGGAGAAGGGTAATTACTACTAATAAAGCTGTAGCAGACAACATAATTTGTTGTAAGCAGTGTTTAATTTTATGGTATGGTTAAACCTGCTCATTCCAAACACATCTGAAGAAATGCACTTTTGTTCACACTTTATATTCCACAATCACTGTCACCACGGGAACCATCTTCCAGGGGTGACTAGATCCTGATACTCAGTGCCACAGCTTTGAAACTCAAATTTCTGCTGCGGACTAAAAATTCACATTTTTGTGCCATTTGAATTCTATAGGCATCCTAAAAGGAGGAGGATTTTTTTAAAAACCCAGCTTCTCATATTGGTTTGATTTGTGTTTCCCACCATGGCTTTTCTGTGTCCTCATCATATGGGTTATCAGGAGGCTGAGGCGGCACCCTGTTTGTCCTTTAAAGAGAGGCCACAGGACCCACAGGAGAGGAATGCATATCAGTGTCACTATTACCCCAGATGGATCTGTTAGTTTCTTCCCAGGTCCTCAGAGAAGCCAGTGGTTCATTTTTATAAAAATCCAGTCTATGGTTAAGCATACAATCTAAAACCATCAAACAAAATATCTTCCAACCAGTTGAACAAAAGAGCTTCACATCTGTTCTTAAGGAATAGCCAGTGTTAGCAAAACTAGGTTAAAATTCTAGCAAGCATATTTTGTGGTCTAGATTACTGGATTTTCACTTGTTGAGGATTCTCTGTGAAAGAAAATTGAAGAACAGACAAATGGTTGCTTAATCTTGTTTTTGTTGTTAGTGACACTGTGCAATTAAATGAGTCAGAGCCCCTCAGAGCTTTGACATTTGAATCAATTTGGTCTGAGATTGTCATTGTGCATTTTGTGTATTCACAAAGCTTTATATACAAATTGTACTTGATGGGAAATTAGCCTTTATGACAAATTCATCACCTGCTCAGAGTATAGACAAATGGTTACTTAACAGTGCATCTGAGTCTATCTGTGCTTCTCTGTAGAGACCTCTGAGATAGTAATTTGGGTGTGTGAGTCTGTGTGCTTTTTCTCTCTAATTAGGTGGCAGCCATTCAGACTGAGGTGTCTCAGAAGCAGAGAGAATGTGAGGCTGACTTGCTCAAGGCTGAGCCTGCCCTGGTGGCTGCTACCGCTGCACTCAATACACTGAACAGGGTAAAGATGATTTCTTGGCTTGTGGGTTTCCTCAAAATGTGATACTTAAAGGTTATTAGATTTGAATAATTGAGCAGAAAATCTGGCAAATATGGCCGAAAAAGTCTTTTTTATGCAGTACTAGGGATCGAACTCAGGACCTTGCGCTTGCCAGACAGGCATGGTGCCACCGAGCTATACCCTGGCCCCAGAAACATTTAAAGGAAGGATTCATAAAACATTAAAATTAAAACAAATCTTTGAGGACATCATTATAGTTCAACTTCTTTTCCCATCGGGAAGTCAGTCCTGCCATATCTGACCAGCAGTCTTGTGAATGCTTCCAGTACCATGGAGTTCATGGTCTTACAAAAGTAGTTTGACTAACAGTACCTGAATTCAACCCAAACCCAGCTTTCTGTATTATGTGTAGGAAAGAAGATTCAGCCTATATAGACCCAGCTGAGAGTTATTGCAGTGCAGTGGGAGATGCTATAAAATGATGTTTCTTACTTGTTCATGTAAAGCACAAAGACAAAACTGAGAGGCACTGAACTAAGGAATTATATTTACGGAAAGGCCTGGTTAAAGTGCAAATGTACTACACAGTAGAATAGTATCTATAAATACCTTACAACCTGTATGTTCACAAAACTTCCTGGCCTCCACAGGACTTAGATACTTGGTAGATCATTTTTCTTGGAGGCAAAGAAGGACAGTGATGTTTCTGGAATATCCGAAAACTGTCCAGCAAGCACAGACCCTCCCCCTGGGACACTAAAGTAGAGTCCCCAAGTGGCAAAAGCTGCTACAGTGAGACTGATGTGATGTTGAGGGACAGGAGGCCACCAAAGAGCAGCTTTGCACCTTAGCACTTCAGACCTTCCCTGACCCTGTGTTTGTGTGTGTGTGTGTGTGATTTTCAGGTCAACCTCACTGAACTGAAAGCCTTTCCCAACCCCCCAAATGCAGTCACCAATGTCACTGCAGCTGTGATGGTCCTCCTGGCTCCCCGGGGCAGAGTGCCGAAAGACAGAAGTTGGAAAGCAGCTAGAGTCTTCATGGGAAAGGTAGTAGGCAAGCTGAAAATCCTAATATTTTCTGTCCTGTGTTCAGTACTGTGTTACATTTGATGACAGACAATGCTCCAGGCCAAAAACCCATCTTCCCAGCTGCTGAATGTGACCTGCTTGTGTTCTTTAGATTGAGAGCTTTTGCTAGCCAAGTTGGAGGTGAGCTCGGCGTTATGGCATACCTAAGCCAATGCCAACAGCAGGTGGAAGGTTGCTAATTATTTGCAAAATTATGAAAGCAGTTAAGTGTAGGAGGGAGAAAATTACATGGATTTCTTAGGCTTGAAAAATGTTACTAATGTACAAAAAGGTGAAGCAAAGGGGCTTTTTGGTATGTGTTTTGCGATTTCTTTCCTTCCTTTCTTTTCTTCAAAATGTGAGTACCTCCTGTGCTGGGACTGAATATTTTACCCTGGGATAGAAGAGGTTTTAAAAGTGTCCATTGCTAATTCTAACTTCATACTGCAAAGACTGAAAAAGTCAAACAGTAGGATAAATGCAGCTTGCCAATTTTGCCTTTGTATTACAAGTTCTAAAAGCTGATTTTAACTTTTGATCTTGGAATTTTCTCTGCAGCCAAAATGGGTTCATTGCAGTAAGTCTTTTTTGCTTTACAGGTTGATGATTTTTTGCAAGCTTTAATTAACTACGACAAAGAGCACATTCCAGAGAACTGTCTAAAAGTGGTGAATGAACAGTACTTGAAAGACCCAGAGTTCAATCCAAACCTGATTCGGACCAAATCTTTTGCAGCAGCTGGTCTCTGTGCCTGGGTCATCAATATCATTAAATTCTATGAGGTATCAGTCCTAATCTGATGGTTTACCGGTGCTTGTCACAAAAGCCATAAACAACAATTTTATGGATCAGCAAAAAGTATGAAATAATTTAATGCTTCATTTTCTGAAAAAGGATATGTAGTAGTTCTAAGAATAAGGCATGAGTATATCAGAGTTAACAGAATTCTAAACAGGAAGAAGTAACCGTTGGAAATTTTTTTAGGTTAAAATGATTACCTGCTTCAGACCAAAGAACACAGATTAATTTGATTTAATTAGATGAAAACTTGCTGCATAAAATTCGTATTTACATTAAAGTGTTTGATTTGTGTTGACTTGATAAGTGCAAATCTAAATTGATACTGAGTTAAATCCTTTTTGCAAGGCAAAAATTCACACCACTTTTGTAGCAAGATAGGGCATAGTGAGATAAGGAAATAACGATTTGTTTGCTTTAGTATTTTAATGGCACATAGATTTCTACAGATGGTCTAATCTAAAATTGTGCTTTGAGACAATACAGAAATGATCGATCATTTTAGTCATTTATTTATCAAATATTTATTGTCTGCCAGCTACATCTCAAGTACTTCTCAGCCTACAGGATATAAATTGGGAGCAGTGTATAACCCTTAGGTCTGAAGAGCTGTCCCACTTTTGTATGTCATATTCAAATATGGCATTGCAGAGAAAAAGTTCAATAGTAGTTGGCATTATTGCCCAAATGATTCTCATAAAATCATATTATTTCCTTCATACTGTGGGGCCCACAGGAGTAGGACTCTCTTGATAGTTGTATTTCTGATAGAACTCTTTCAACGGCAAGAGTTCAGACAGATTACAGTGCATACCTGGCCTCCATAGTAAGATGCTTGTGCCCCATATTCATTTTGAACCATGACTAAAATGGTGAGCACAGAGCTAGACTGCAACTGCATTGTATTTTACTTAAAGTAGGATGTGAAGTTCTCTCTACCAGGAGAAAAATCGGTCTACCCAGATTCTTAAACCATTCATTCAAATAATACACTCTTTAGGGAATCAAAAAAACTTGGAAAAGAAATGTGTGGATAATATTGTGTAAGGATGTCTTACCCTTTTCTTACTGTGACTGGAGAACTTCTCCACCCTTACTTTCTGCCTCACCAGCTAGGCTTGATCTTACCTTTGACAGACTGGTATCTGAATTAAAGTTTGACAGACAGCACTTCATCCAAGTTCTTGTAGCTCCAATGCCTGTAAGTCCATACGTGTAACTAGTGGAGGCCCCACAGAGCCCACGAAGGCTATGTCTGCTCCTCCTTAGGTGATACTGTGGTGAAGAAACAAAGAGCTCATCCCTGAGTGAATTAGTGATATTACTAGTACAGCTCCCAGCCAACAGGAGAATGAATGATTACTTGTTCTTGTTGCATCCGTGTTGCCTCTTCAGTTAAACTCATGTGAATTTTCAGGTCTACTGTGACGTGGAGCCAAAACGCCAAGCATTAGCTCAAGCAAATTTAGACTTGGCTGCAGCCACTGAAAAACTAGTGGCCATCAGGAAGAAACTTGGGGTAAGTGCAAGCTGTCGCACCGAAGAAGATCCAAAGGGTTGGTCTCCACACTGACCTTGGGAGCCCATCTCCAGACAGGGCCACGCGTGACCCTGCCAAAGAGAAAGGTATTTGATCTTTCTTGAATGCATCCCCTTGTGTATTCATTCAGTAGCTTATTTCTTCTTTGCTATATGCTAAACCCTACACTGGAAATGTAGATTCATTTATGTCTTTTGCACTCAAGAAACTTTCACAGTCTGGTAGTATAAGAATAAAGGTAGCATATGATGATTAAAAGCATGGTTCTTGGAGCCAGACTTACTGGTCAACACCATGGCTCTTCTATTTAATGTTTAACTCCACAAAAGTTGATTAACTTTTCTGCACCTCTTTTTTCTCATCTGGGATATAGGTACAGATGGAGCATTCCTTATTCAAAAATCCACATACTCCTGACTCCCAGACTTTTTCAATGCCAACATGATGCCTAAGTAGTTTGGGGTTATGAAGCATTATAGATTTCAGGTTTTTGCATTAGGATTGTTCATCTGGTCTATGCAAATATTCCAAAAGCTGAGAAACTCCAAACTCTAACATGATTCTGGCCGCAAGCATTTCAGATAAAGAATGTTCAACCTGTATATTAACAGCATCCACTTCTTTGTAGGATTTTGAGGGTTATATGAGTGATTCATATTAAGAATTTAGCATAATATCTGGCATTCCATACTTTCTGGGTGGAATTAATATTATCACCATACAAATTTTATGAATATTTAACCTAGTCTTGCTCTTCCAGTATTATATAAATGTGAGTATATACAAAGTGCAGCCACAGCACTGATAAATGATCGAGCCTGGTAAAATTAGAGGAAATTTCTTCAGGAGGGTATCCTGAACATGGGCTTCGAAAGGTACTTAAGTGTCCCCAGAGTGGCTAAGATGGAAAAGGGGTCCCTGGTAGCGATGAAGGAAAACAGAGGCAATTGGGACACTTGAGGAACCACAACAGACCAGAGCCGTGCTAAGAGGTATGTTAATATAATGAACCTTTTTATACTATATTAACAAATTAATATAAGGGAAGGTTAAGCATGATGGGCTGGAATGAAAGATGACCGTTCAAAGATGAGCAGAGGCCTTCTCTGCCTTTCTAGCTGCAAATTTTAAACTTTGTCTCGCTATTGACATGCAGCCTTTGAAAGGTTTTAATGGATAGATGACACACACTCGGACAATTTTGCAGGCAACTGCAGCAAGTCCTGGCAGGGCCTCAGCTCAGGCAGGAGCGGTCACGGTGGGGCCCAGATGGATTCTCAGCTGGCTGCTGGGGTGTGGAGGGGGGAGAAGAATATGACATAGAGATAGTGCTGGGAGGGGCTGGTGAGGCAGCACAGAGCAGTGCAGTAGGACTGATGAGGCTGTGCCTCACCAGCAACTTACAAACCCTTCGGCTTCTCATGCGTCAGGCTGTGATGATAACAACTGCCTCGCGAGGTGCGAGGTGAGCGTTTGTGGTTTTCACTACCCTGTCTCCGTTCTCTGCCTGTGAGCAAAGCCAGCCTGATTTATCTTTACAGAATGCTCACTCCTCATTAGATCCACCTAGCTGGAGCTTTTGGCAGTAGGGACCTTCCCTTTTCTAGCAATATGGACTAGGTGTTTAACATAAGCCTTGCCAGTTTGATCCCCTGTCTTGAAATTGGAATGATGAATAAAAGACTGAAAAGAGTTCATGCATCCCAGAGATAGTGTTCACCTGAGACCATCAAGAGTTCCTGCTCCCCTGACCCTCCCCTGGATCTCTGCCTTTCCTTCCCTCCAGAGAGCTACCCTATCTCTTCTCGAACATTCCCTTCAGCTCAAATTAGCTGGAGGAGCTCTGTCTTGGCTGCAGAGAGCTGGTGAGTTGAGATATGCTTCCAGGTGGTGCAGCACGCAATAGATGCTTACTAAATCTCAGTTTTTACTCTTCCTGTAACCCACTTGTAGGTGTTGAGCAGTCAGAACCGCAGCTTGACGGAGAAGCTGTTTTGAGATAGATTTGGAAATGGTTGGTGTAACGATTGTGCGTAGAGAAAGGGTCCAGGGAGATTACAACACAAAAGAAGCGATGCGGGCTGAGGTGCAGCTGAGGGAGGATGTTTGGACACCACAGTAAGTCCTGCCATAGGTCCCCAAGCTGGTGAACTCAGCAGCCCCAGCAGTGCAATGTGGCTCCTATAGAACAAGGTTAGTCAGGCTTGCGTATGTCTGGGAACACTCCTTACTTGTCAGTGTGGCAAAAAGGGAGTGAGCATTTTCTGACAGCCCCTGTAAGATTTCAGGGTATATTATGAAAGGCAGAGGAGTAAGATCAACTTTCCAGAGCAGAGCCCAAGGTACTGACTCCTGGAATATACAAGGAAGTGATTAAACTGTACTTTGATCTTCCCATTCAATAATTACAAGGCATCTTTTATGACAATTATTATAGCAAGATGGTCAGTAATTCCCAAACTATTCCCCTATGACATGAACAATTCAGCACCTCTCACAACTGACGCCCTCTTGTCTCTTGAGGCTGCTGCTTTTTTTTTTTTTTTTTTTTTTTTTTTTTTTTTTT